TATTATGCGAATCGATTTCCATTCATAATTGAAAAATATAGCCCGTGTTGAAATTTATCCGAATATAACAAAAACTCGATTTTTATTTTTGGGCAGTATCGACCCTTCCTATTGCAAAGGCCCCATATGTAATAATCAGTGACGCTGAATAGCGATTAGTAATAATATATAAGGTATCGATCCCGAAAGGGAAAGAACCTAGCTTTGATAGCTTTTAGAGCTTTTGAGCTTTGTGAATAATAACTTTTGAACTTAGTGAAAAACTATTACCTGTGTGAACGTAATACAATCGGTGAAAGGACCTGTACGATACACGGTCTTCGGAAAGAATAGCCAAGCGAGTGTAAATTGATAGTAAAGACCCACCATTACACGGGAGTACCAGGAAACTCCGTGACACTTATAGAGAGAGTTTTTATAAGCGGGCCAGACAATTAGTGTGCACTTACAGAATAAAGAATGTGCATTTATCTATAAGTCTCACCATAGGCCCGGGCTTATATCATGTATTTAGAGGGGTGTTGCATTTAGGGAGGGTGCATTTAGGGGGTCTGACTGTATTAAAAATATATTCTAACTCTAAATTTTATTATATATAAGAAAATTCCAATGTTATTCGGCAGTCTTTGTAAATGATATGGAAAATAATTATATACTTTGTATCTCTCAGAACTACCTTTTATTCTATTTTTAAGCACTTGGGCATTAAGAAATTGACAACATAAAAGCCCAATAGACTAGATCGAATGGCAGAATCTATATAAAAAATTTATGTATTTACTGCTGCAAAAAAGATTGATTCTTAACGCGGTATCTAAAGAAATATATATGTGATTGCACATAGAACATGAATTTATAGAGTATACTTGTCGTGATTTTAATTATTGCCTTTAGTTATCTGTTAATATTTTTCTTTATCTACATATAATATGAACACTTCCAAATTAATCAGTAAAAGAATATTTAAAAGGTAAGAAATGTATGATTGAACGCTTGCAAGCAGATTGTCATTTTCTTTTAATCACATGAATAGCTACGTTTATAACAATGTATTTCTAATTGAAAATAGAACATCTGATTCGGATTAATTAAACTTTTCTCCATACTCAACCGATACATGATTTTAAAATTTTGCCGTTCAAATTAAAAATTAAAAATTAAAATTTCCACAAAGTTCATAACTCATCTTTCATAATTTTATTATCATCTTCATTATTATCATCATCACTGCTTTCGCTGCTTTTCACTATTGCACTAGGATATATTTCCTTAATTTGATCACCAACAATCTCTAACGCAGCCAAATTTCCACCATAAGCAGAAGAAATGCCAACGTCAATCACGTATACTTTACCATTAAACCTTGATACTATACGGCTTGATAATGGAGTATGTCCTATGACTATTCTTTTCACCTTTAAAACCTCCAAAACTTCATTCACCATTTTTTTGGTAGATTCATCATCTTTTTCAGCGTATTTTCTCATCCAAAGTGGACCATCAATATCTATAAAGATACTAGCTTCTTCTTTCGTAACATTCATCTGATCCCAAGTGATAGTAGGATTTTCTTTACTTAACATCTTTGTCGTTTTATTAATTAACCCCTTACCAAGTATGTTTATGTCTTCTATCCCAAGTTTTGCCCACTTAAGATCAAGTCCCCCATGAACAAATAATGTATCATTTTCCACTATTGATGCAGTTTGAAACGTGGTCAATAGGAGTTTACCGATGTAGCCTTCTGAGGAAAATTGATGGATGCGGTTTTTAACAGAACCAAAGGATCTTATGTCTGCGGGTGTTACGTAGTTCCAACTTAGAAGAAGGTTCATTATTTCATGATTTCCTATCAGATTTATTACCTGTAATTAAAAAGTTAACATATGTAATTTGTTATTTTATAATAATAATACTGTAATAATAATAATAAATTTGATATTGTAGTTACCTGCCCACCAACTTCTTCTGCTTCTTGTCTTAATTTATCAAATAATTTATATATCTTTAAACAATCCGGGCCTCTATCTACTATATCGCCCTATTCTTACAATAATACATACAATTTTAAAATATTATTAAATTACCATCATATAACATGAAATTAAAATATATACAGTTTGGACCAAAATTCCGTTCTTCCCAATCCAATTTTCTTTTTCGTCCAAAATTCTGGACATTTTTAATACTTCGAGAGTTTGCTCGTAATCTCCATGTAAATCTCCGACTGCAATTATTCTTCGTGGAGATTGATTAGATACTTCTGAAGCAGCAACTGTAGAAAATTTGGCTACATATAAAAATTTAATATGATTACCAATTGCAAATTGTTGAATAATTGGAAATACTAAGGTAAGTATGAGAAATACGTTAAAGATTGATTTTATTCTTTGAATTATCATGATTTTTTTTTCTAGCCAAAAAAGTTTGAAAGATAAATGTATTGGATCATATCGATATGTTGCGTTACTTATATAATTGTCAAACCTTACAAAAATGGTTTCAGGATGCGCGATCAGCGTTAGCAACTAGAACTCATTAAATGATTTTTTTTTTTTTTTATCAAATGAATCACTTTTATCGTCTTCTATGATCACTTTTATCGTCGTTTAACATTTACTGATCTATCAATAATGGATCAATAATGGTTTCTATTACCTTTTGTTCCTTTGCACCATGAGCTCCTTTCATTTCCGATTTTACGAAATTTTAGTGTATTATTATTAAAATAGCGCAAATTCAACGGTGTTTGCTTCGTTATTGATTGAAGACTATGGAATTTATAAAACCTATAGATGCTAAGCATTTTAAAATTCATACAATAAGTATCGGTATACAGTATCTGGTTAGATAATTTATACTGTGATCGACAAAAATTTAGACCTATTGTTGTCGTTTTTTGTAAATTGTACGATAAATTTGGTGAATTTATTAAATTGGAAATGTCTAACTACGACCAACTTTCAATAAGTGCATTATTTGTAAAATGTACCGGTAAGTATATAAGCAATGCATCACCCTTTATATAATAAAGATTGGATCGTAAGACATCCTAAATATCGATATGTAATTCGTACGTACTACAACTAAAAAAAACCTGAGGTATACAAGTACTTTTTAGAAAACATTGTATACGTAACGGTAACGACAGGCTGGATTTAGGGTTTTAAAATTACCCTAATGGTAATTTTGCGTAATTTCATTAAGTTTCGGTAATTTAGACATAATTTTGAAAGTTTTATATAAAAAAAGTAACATAGCATATTGTTTTTGGAGAACAGCATCCGAATTTATACATTGTATAACAAAGTTAACGAATATCTAGTAATATGACAATAAAAATTGAATGATTTATACCATTCGATTCGTCTCGAAGAAAGAATCGAATGACGCAAAGAACAATCACTAAATCACGAGATATATCGAATATATCTAATTTCAAAGTTGTTCGCAATATTAAATTTTACAGTATACAAGTCACTCTCGTTATAGTGAACTCTCGATATAGTGAAGATTGGCTATAGTGAAGAATTTTTTTAGAACAGAATTATGATTACTATAATAAAAGGCTCTCGATATAGTGAATCTCTCAATATAGTGAAGAAATTTTACAGTCCGAGGACTTCACTATAACGAGAGTGACTTTAATATAAAATTTAAACCTTTATCGTTCTATATGAAGCATATAGGTTTAATGACCCACATATGCACTGTTCCAGTTCACTATATCTGATATCATTTAGTAATTATTGTCTAATAAAAAATAAAAAATCGTCAAAAACAATGCTGAACTTTGCGAATAATCAACTAATTTTTAAGGCAGCTCCTTCAATATAATTTGCTAGCGATCGAGATATTCTCGGTTGTTTAAAGTGATCCTTTATACCGATTTTGCAAAATTCATAATGCAAAGTGGATTGTCCAATTATTATTGTGCAACGTTCTATAACTTATTTGTTACATAAATTTTGTGTATTATTAATACTAGCCCTAAGTGGGAATAAAATTGTGGCACAAAAATATGAGTACCCTTTATGTACTTAAATTAACGTTAATCACTATTGCTATCGCTTTAACTCTTAATATAATCCTCCAGTGCATTACACTTCAATTTGGTTAAATAATCATAAAATTATATTATATGACAAACATTAATCAAAAAAAAAAAAGGAATCGTACTTAATAATACAAAATGCCTTCTAAACAAAGTTACTCTAACATGTTGGCCGTTCTAAACGTTAAAAACAACAAATGGATTTTTTATACATTAATATTTATTCTCGTTTTATTCATTAGCTCTTCACTTTTCAAAAATTCAGATGACTTTATTATTAAACCGAAATACTTAGTTCCATTTGCAGATGAACTTAGTGTTAAGCCTACTAACCTTAAAGAATGGAAAAGAAGGCATTATTTAGTAAACTATTTAAATAATGAACAGAATGTATTGATTTATGTAACGCCTAAAGACAATTATAGAAGTGATGACTCGATAAAACTTAAATACAAGTTTGATAAAACTTTAGCAAAGTGTGAAGTGCCATGTATCTGGAACGAAACACGCATAGAAGATTTAACAACCGAAGAACTTAAAACTGCCGATGCCGTATTTTATGTTAACCAAGAAGTTCCACTAAAATCAAAAGCATGGAGAGGGCAGAAACTTATACAATATACTTTAGAGTCTGCAACACAATATCCACAGTACCACGATAAGAATAGATATTTCGATATTCATGTGACATTTGATGAAGATTCAGATGTACCTACAAGTTTTATTAAAGATCCAGAGAAATGGCAAACTAAACAACCCTTTGACATGGATAAACTCTCTTCAAGCTCTCCACCAATTTCTTTAATTGCTTCTCAGTGGACGAAATTCCGTGAAGCTTGGATTCCAACTCTCAAAGATCATATTCCTATTGCATCTTTTGGTAGTGTCTACTGGAGTGCTAATTGGGATATTCATCCGGAATGCGCAAATTTAGAACCTTATGAAATAAAAAATTGTATTATCTCTAAATATCCTTTTCATTTATCCATTGAGATATCTCAAGAAAAAGATTACTCTACTGAAAAACTTTGGGATGTGTTTAACTCTGGATCCGTACCTATTATCTGGGGTGCACCTAATAGTCGTTCGTACCTACCGCATCCTAAATCCGCCATTTTTATTGATGATTTTCCTGATGTTAAAGCTCTCGCTGATCATTTAAAGTATTTAATAGAAAATAAAACGGCTTATTTAGAATATCATAAATGGAGAACTGAAAAGGAATGGTCAGAAGGATTTGATAGAAAAGCATATATGAACATAGAAAATATGGAATGTAATGTTTGTAAAGAGGTTGCTAGGTTAAGAATTTTAGAAGGAAGGACCAATCTTCCACAGTTTCAAGTTGATTTAGAGGATAATGTTGATACTATTTAGTACGTTGGTTTATTATGAAAGCCATCCTTTCGTCAAAACTTAAATTTTATTGGTATTATTTAAATAGATTCTTATTTTTATATCGTACAAGATACAATATGTAATACTTTTGTCAATTATGGTCTTTTATCTTATAATATTCTAGTTTTATTGATAAACTTGCATTAAAATAAAATTTTGCTTCTTTACATTTATGAGAAGAGGTGCCGTACCAGGAACGTATCAGGAACGGAGTGTATGGTTCAGTTCGTTTGTCCACAAAATCTTGATGCTGATTTGATGTAGTAATCGAATGATTCATGACATAATGATCTACATTCGTTACAGTATTATATTGAGTGATAACGATAGATTGTAACGCTTTTGATAACCATTTGACTTCACTATTAAAAATGTGCTGTGAAACACCCGTCATTCGTTTAAAAAATCTAACCATTAACATAATCGAAAAGCATAGGTACGGCCATGTGGTTGGAAGAATGTCGACTAATCGAAGGTGTCGGAAATAAATTTAACTATAGGACTTTAAGTCCGTAAAATAGATTGTGAGAATTTGAACTAAGTAATAGAACTGAAACAATGATATGCCCCGGGAAAATTTGCACGTAAGATTGTGCTAGGGATTATCGTAACAGTAGAACGAGCGAGAAGCAGCATGAGTAGGGCTGTTAAGTGGTCCAACACAAACCAGCTCGTCCTAGGACCGGGCCGGTCCTGTCTTATTTGGAACGAACTGAAAAGACTGATAAATATAGGGGGCTGGTAATCGTACCCCCAAATATGGTATTTGTACCCCCTTCAGAAAAATAAAAAAAATAAATTTCAAGTAACGCTATCTCAACAACTACGTAGTCAATTTCGATGAAATTTTTTTATTTGAATTCTACAGATTCGTAGAATTCAAATAAAAAAATTTTCATCGAATTTGGTCATGTGGTCGTCGAGATAACTTCACACAAAATCAAAAAAAAATCAAAATAGAAGCTGCGCCGAATCAATTTTAAAACTTTGAGCGAAAATATCTCGATGACCACATAATCAAACTCGATGAAAATTTTTTTATCTGAATTTTACAAATTCGTAGAATTCAAATAAAAAATTTTTCATCGAGTTTGATTAGGTGGTTGTCGAGATATCTTCGCTCAAAGTCAAAGAAAAAATCAAAACGTCTATCTAAATAAAAGCTGCGCCGAATTAATTTTAAAACTTTGAGCGAAGATATCTTGATGACCACCTGATCAAACTCGATGAAAATTTTTTTATTTGAATTCTAAAAATTCGTAGAATTCAAATAAAAAAAATTTTATGAGTTTGATCATGTGGTCATCGAGAAATCTTCGCTCAAAGTTTTAAAATTGATTCGGCGCAGCTTCTATTTTGATTTTTTTGACTTTGAAGTTATCTCGGCGACCACATGACCAAATTCGATGAAAATTTTTTTATTTGAATTCTACAAACCTGTAGAATTCAAATAAAAAAATTTCATCGAAATTGACTACGTAGTTGTTGAGATATCTTTACTTGAAATTTATTTTTTTTATTTTTCTGAGGGGGTACAAATACCACATTTGGGGGTACGATTACCAGCCCCCTAAATATAACCTGTTTCTGGATTTTTGCGATATTTGATCTAGTTAACATAAAATTATTGCCGTAACGAACATGTATAGCCTAATTTTTTGTAGGTTTAGATTATGAGCACTATTATATTATACATACAGTACAAGTGTAAGTAGGCACCATACAATTTTGAGCTCAGATAAGCAAGTTATATGAATCATAAATTAACACGAATAAGAAATTAATAATAGATACATAAATATTTCGCTTAATAAATAATATTGACTGAATCGATTTGAATAAAAGATTGTTTATCGATTAAATCAACAATGACAATAAACTAGTAAAACTAATACATTGCTTTCGTAACTTTGTTTAACAAATTTTTTTATAATTTCGGGTTAAATTAAC